AACATAAAGATACGTAGTTAGTTTGAACTGGAGGCAGCCTTTTGTCACAGTGAATAGCCTGTCAAGCTCACCCACAGCAGCTGAGCTAGAGCAACTCAAGCCTTGTGCTAGCTGCAGAAAACAGAGCTAAGTCAGCAAGGCATATGGAGACTCACTAACTTGCTGAACTTTGCACAATTAAAAAACGAAGAGTACGCATGTATGTTACAAAAAGTGCTTTGTCTTTTTAAGTGAGGATAGTTTTGTTAAACCTGACACTTCAGAGGATGAGAGTAAGTTTTCACTGATGTAGTTTGTGAAAGTAGCAAAAGCAACAAATGAGGCTTTATTACACACAAACTCCAGAATAAGTCAGTTCTAAAGTGTAAAAAGCAACTGCTGTTTTCTATGTGCCGATTATGAAACAAACAGGTTCCCAAAGTATGAATCAGAGAGGGTATTGTATATCTGAAAAGTCAGACTTCTTTCAAGTTAATTTTTCCATACCCACATTGGCCAGAATATTGAGAGCTGATGGAACAATGTGGCGTTTTATTTTGTCCTGCTGTGTGTTTTATTTAACATATTTCAAGACAAAGAAAAATCAATACGCTATTAGGGCAGTATGAAGAGCATTAACAAATGCATAATGGGGTACAAGTGCACCACAGTCACACAGAATGATTTTCACTGCGGGAGAATGTCTGACAAGATCTACACAGAGAATACAACCACATGGTAAAAATTGTTTAGGGAAGCCTTTCTCCAGTGTGATCAGAAAGCCTTGCATGAGCTTCTTGTTTTGTTTCCTCCCTGCTCCTGAGCAGGACAAAAAATAAAATAATCTGTGTTGTTTATCTTGGTAAAACTGAGGATCTTTAGGACTAACAGACCTGCATGTGGGACAAACTAAAGAGCAACTAAGGCTGCTGCTCCTTTGCAGCGCCCCGGGCTGGGGGGCAGCTCTGTGGAGAAGGCCCTGGGGCCATGGTGGGCAGCGAGGTGGACATGGCCAGCAGTGGCCTTGGCTGCAAGGAAGGGCGACCGTGTGCTGGGCTGTGTGAGCAGGAGCATGGCCAGTTGGCCGGGGGAGGTGATAATCCCCCTCTGCTCAGCGCTCATGAGACGACAGCTATGTGTTTTGTCTGGTTTTGGCACCCCCAGTAGAGGAAACGCATCGATAAACTGGAGCAAGTAGGCTGAGGGGCCAGGGCTGGTTCAGCCCACTGAAGGCACAGGTTGGGGGGCACCAAACAGCAGCCCCGCAAAACCTACAGGAAAGCCACCAAGAAGATGGAGTCGAACTCTTCACAGCAATGGGCAGGGGGAGGAAGAGAGACAACAGGTATGAGTTGAAACACAAGTAGCTCAGAGCAGATTTAAGGGGGAAAATACCACACTGAGGGTAATTCAGCAGTGGAGCAGGTTGCCCAGAGAGTGTGTGGGAAATGTTGGAGGTTTTCAAACACTGACAGGACAGAACAACCTTGTCTGGTCTCATGGCTGACCCTGCTGTGACCAGCAGGCTGGACCAGAGACCTCCTCAAGTCCCTTCCAGCCTGAATTATCCTGTGATTCTATGGTTATTTCTAAAGATAAAATCTCCCTAAGCAATTGGTGTGCTCTTCTACCACTGTAAAGCTTTCCTGTTGTCTAATGTGAATCTCTTCTACAATGTAAGCCCATTAATTCAATTTTTTTCCACTACAGATATACACTCTCCCTCTTTGCAATAACTTACTATGTATTTGAGGACTGTTACCATGCTATTTCAGATTGCCTTAGAAGCTTTTTGAATACTTAATACTTCATGCCATTAAGTGCCACGTTTCAATTTATTCTAACTTTTGGGCAGCCACATGTGCCAGTTTTCTTGGATATTTCTGATTATGCTTAAAGCATGATATAGCAGGAGTGCACTCTGCTAGCTTTTAAAATTGTATTTCTCTACTCTGTATTTCACTGATTTTCACAGTACAAATTTTCACAGTGCATTTTTTCTCATCATCCCATAGTTCCTAGGCTACGTATTATCTGATTGTGCAATGCTTAAACTGCTGCTGAGGTGAAATAGCCATGTTTTTCTCTCTTGCCTTTTTGCTCACAAAAGTTATTAAATGATAGTTCTTACAGAAGCTCATTCTCTGCAGTCACCCATGACTCCAAGCCCTATGACTGTTCTGAATTTGCATCTTTGTAGCTCTTAGGTACAAGTTTATTCTCAGTGGAACAGAGTCCTGCTAGCTTCCTCTGTTCTCATTTCTTGCTAGCTACTTTGGTTTTGCTTGTTTTCTCAACAGCATGAGCCACTCGCCCATTTGCCTTGTTCCTCAGAGGGTTTTCCCTCATACAAACACACATACACCACTGTTTTCTGGGACTACTCTTCTTTCCATTCCTTGAATTCTGCTGTCAGAGAGAAACAATTTTGCTTCAGTGCTTCAGGATGAACGCTCTTATTCATCAGTCTTTCCTATATTTAAACAGGTCTCTCTCTGAGAGTGACAGTGACTGCAGCGTAGGAGAGATGGAAGGGGCAAAGCTGCCTTCTGCGTGAAACCAGGCTGGGCAGGCAGAGCTGTGACAGCTCTCCGCTTTGCCTCAGGATCTGCATCCCCAGTTGCACCAGTTATTCTGCGTACAGTGTGGCAGATGAGGAAGTACAACTCCTTCATGCCACACATTTGTGTGAAGACAGATGTTTTCAGCTTACTCGGACATCAGAATTAGGACAGAATAGGATGCCCTGGACAAGAAGGATAACAAAATCAGGGTATGCTTGAACAGGAAAATGAAGACATTAGTGCAGCATGGGCAGCCATAGCTTTAATCAAACTGGCACAGGCAGCAACAGCATCAAAGATGCAGAAGCACAAAAATCAGTGTGGGCTGGCAACTGGGGTAAGGTCATGCAGGCTCCACTCACATCCATACCTTTACAGCATCACTGCTATTCTCCCAGTGCTAGATAGGTGAAGGCTAACTTAAAATCCTGCCCCACAATGCAATCACTCCTGCTGCAGTGAAGAAATAGCTTGAAGGCTTTCTTTATTCTGTAAGAAATCCCTTTGGGTTGTTTTGGATTAGCTGCTACCCAGGCAACATTGCAACAGGCAAATTCAATAACCTGGCACCATTAGGACACTTGGAGAAGGTTCCCTGTTAAATCAGCCAATTTTCCTAAGAACAAGTATAGGTGCAGCAAATTTTGCAGTTTGTTCCACGCGTACTTTTTATATATCTAGCTTTAGTCTGTAAAGTAACAATATCCTAGACTCTCTTCAACTTTTAGGGTTCAATTTTTTAGTGCTTATTTGCTTAAATTTCACTAAATATAAAAAGAGACTTGTACATGCTGTGTACCTTATGAGTTGTTACTGATGGGAGGATAAATTAATCTTCACATTTATTTCAATGAATTCTAAAACAGTGACAGCTTGCATCCCTGTGAAAGCTTTGCCATTTCTGTTATTTAATAATGATGACAATATTTGTCGTGCTACTGTTTACAGACAGGTTTTGCCAATGGGAACTGACTTCAGGGATCACAGAGTTTTGTGACCTTTGACATAAGCATTTGCCAGCCTCGACAATATAAGCCACTTGAACATGGTGTGAAAATGCTGCACAACCTTTCTGATAAGTGTAGCATGTCTCCAGTCAAATATCATCTGCTGTGAAATAAAGATTAGAATGAAAAGGCAGACTGAACATGAACAATCTCAGTTTACCAAAATATATTCTTTGACCTGAAATGCAAGTGGAAAAACACATCAAAGTGGGACACATGCTTCCAAAGAGTTAGAAACAAAGCATACCTGGTGCTATTGTTGAATAAGCTACAAATACATCTTAGATGTCACTCAGGCATGTTGTCCAGTTGTAGTGGAGATAAATTTCCTAGCTACTGAAGAGATGGCATGTTTAGACTAGTTGACTGTCATACACTTGTATACGATTGTGTTTCACCAATGATTTGAGGAGACTTGTTTTAGAGACAGAAGAGTAATACAGTTTCTACCATTTGTTTGGGCCTTGGCCTTGCTGAAATACCATTTCTCAGATGCAGCTTTTTGCTTCTGGGGATATTAGTCCAGTAGGAAGAATACTTAAACTCACAATGTTAATTTAAAATAAGTCATGAAGTGATGAAGATGGTCTTTTGGTACTAGTCCAGGCTGGATTGCAAATCCTAAATTTACTATTGAAATAAATCATTCTGTAACCCACTGCTAGTCTTCATAAATTATTAGAACTAGTATGCCATCACTTACATTACATTAATTTCTCTTATTGGGAAAAATATTACAAAGTGCACTCTCCACATGTACCTGTATTAATGTCTCTCTTCTTGTTTTTGTCATTTTCTTTCCTAGATTTTTCATTCTAGCTGAGCAACTGAAAAACCAGGAAACATGCCTGAGCAAAGCAATGATTACAGGGTTGTTGTGTTTGGAGCTGGAGGAGTGGGCAAAAGTTCTTTGGTCTTGAGATTTGTGAAGGGCACTTTCAGAGAGAGCTACATCCCTACCATTGAAGACACCTATCGGCAGGTGATCAGCTGTGATAAGAGCATATGCACTTTGCAAATAACTGACACTACAGGGAGCCATCAATTTCCAGCCATGCAACGTCTTTCTATTTCTAAAGGACATGCTTTCATTTTGGTTTACTCTATCACCAGCCGACAGTCCTTGGAGGAGCTCAAACCAATCTATGAACAAATATGTCAGATTAAAGGAGACATAGAAAGCATTCCAATAATGCTGGTGGGGAACAAAAATGATGAGAACCAAAATCGAGAGGTGGACAGCAGTGAAGGAGAAGCCATGGCTAAGAAGTGGAAATGTGCCTTCATGGAGACCTCTGCCAAGCTGAACCACAATGTGAAAGAGTTATTCCAAGAATTGCTAAACCTAGAGAAACGCAGGACTGTGAGTTTACAAATTGATGGCAAAAAAAGCAAGCAGCAGAAAAGGAAAGAGAAGCTGAAAGGCAAATGTGTGGTAATGTGAAATTGCACTATCAGGAGTCAGCCACGCAGTCTCACCTGTCAACAATACCCACGTAAAAACCTATAGACAGCAAACAACCATACAAGACCCTATTTATTAGTATCTGTTTTAAAAGAAATATTTGGAATTTGAAAAAATTAGTTACTGCGGTTAGTATGAAAAAAGCCAACAATTAAAAAATCATGTACTCTAGCTATCAGCAAAAAAAATCAGGAAGTAAAAGAAAGATGGGTCACATTATCTAATTTTGTAGTTCACAGAAGAAAAGAAATGTAATCCTTAGCATAACGTGGAAGATTTGGGAAGTCAACTTCATATTATTTATGTTTGCATATAATTGCAAGAGAAGGCAATGTATAATGTTAGAAGAAAAACAAAGAAATGGCCATGAAGAAACCTAGAACCCATAAATACATGCTGGGTGGTGTTATCGCACCTTTTAAGAATGCTGTGGACAAACAATTCTGTGCAATTTTCATTATGGACTAGTGGGGCAGTGTGCATAAGGTAGTCTCAGATCTGCCAAATAGACGAACTATTTCACACTAAAAGGAAGTAGGGGGGTAGCACAGTTAGTAGGAACAGATGTTCTCTCTACCCCCCCAGCATGAGATTTCTTTCTAGTATAACATGGTGTTTGAACTGAGGGATGAGGAAAAGGCAGTCCCTGTAGGAGAGATGGAGATCATCTCCTTTTCTGGACCCATTGCTTCAAGAGTGACCTGTGCTTCTGGGCCCAATATATTTCAGAAGAGCAGATGTTTGCCTGTGGAGAATGTCGGATTGTGTAAAAATGGTGTACATATACAAACAGAAAGCTTCCCCAGAGAGGACTGGCTGGGGAGTCCCCTACAAAAGCCTCTATGGGATAGGCTCAGTTCAAATGCTGCTGATGGTTAAATGAACCCATGGTGTGATTAGTGAATGAATGGAAAGTCTACTGAACTGGTGGTACACAGAGGTGACTGTGTAGTATACAAGTTTTTATTCAAATTACCAGATTAGCTGAGTGAAACTTCTTTACAATACTATATTCCAATTGGGATGGTTCTGCATTCATGCACTACCAGATCTATTGCCTTTATATTGATTGAAGGGTTTTATATTTACCGTTTAAACTCATTATTTGAACTGCTGTGACTATAGAACCAAATCGTATACCTGGAGTTAAGGTCCACAAGAGTCTCTAAGAGATTTGCTGGGATATGTACTACAGGATCTGGCGTATTAAGAGTTGCAGTCAGTACTGCGTTACAATGCAATACAAAGTTCAGAACAGAAAAAAACTGGTTCAAACCACTCTGTCAGGGGAAACTGCTCTTCTCAAAACCTTTGGAAGGAGAAAGTGTACAAAATGTAAGCTTTTCTGCATCTTTCTCCAGCGCTTTTCTAAAAACTAATATGAATGTGTAAAGTATGTAACCTACTGATAACAAAGACCATCTTAGATAAATGAAGCACATAGGTTTTTTTTAAAGGACACATAAAAATTGTGTAAGCTACAATTTGCACCTTAGGAACTGCTTTGAAATAATAAAAAAACCCCACCATATTTTTCGTAAATGTTTACGTTGAAATCATACTATGGGAAAATGCAGTAAAGTACAAGTATTATTAGTACGCATGCTGTTGCATTATAAATATCTTCTAAGAGCTGTTCAAATGCAGTATTTGCATTAAAATTTGTTACCCTGTTGCTCTCAGAGCTATTGCTTGCTTACCTTCCACCTTCTGAACAAAAGTGCAGATACTTTACAGGTAGGGTGATAGTATACATTTCTTTGAGCAAGAATTGCTATTAGCACTGTCTAGAAAGGAGCACAACTTCTGTCATTCACTGAGAAGAAATTCTCGCACCATTAAAATCAAGTGTAAAACTCCTACTGGTTTCAAAGAAGGCAAAATTTTGTGCGTTTACTTCATTGTATTAGAAGAGAAAACTGGAGAGACCATGAAAAAAAGCTAAGGGTCTTCCTTAGCAATAAATTCCCAGCTCTTACATGATGCTTTTTCTCCATAAATCTCAAAGTGCTTTACAAAAAGGACAGCATCATTATCTTAACTTCGCAGGTGATGAAACTGAGGCATGAAGAGAGGAAGCAACTGGACATAGGTTACCCAGCAGGCTAGAGGCAGACCCAGGAACGAAAGCAGGTGTCCTCAGTCCCAGTCCAGTGCTCTCTCTGCATTTGGTCAGACTGCCTCTTCACATTCTTAAATAGTTTCTAAAACACATAAAGAAAGCTGGTACGGCTTACATGGCTAAGTGCATCTATTTCTTGTCAGTCTGTCAACAGATCAAACAGTATTTCCAGATCAGGGATGCAAAACATTTAAAAGCACTATGTTTAGTAAGACTTTTATACACGTTACATCTACTCTGTCTGTAAGCAAATGGCTGAAGATACTCATCTTCACAGCACTGGATTCTGCTAACAAAACTGGAAAATCGAAAGAATGATCACACTTAAGGAGTAACGGGTCATATACAGAGGTCAGCAGTACAGAGGTCTCCTGGTACTGCTAACACACCTGTGCCAAAGGTCATCATGCACAGCACAAGCCTAAGCAGCCAGCATGGAATGATGATAGAAACTCAAAGAAAAAAGGCCATATAAAGACAAAGATCCTTTTAACATTATTACTTTAACTGGAGGAATTATTTACGTAGCAAAGAATCTTGCAGAAGTAGAATATAGAGGATCTGAATTAGACTCAAAGGGTTATGACTGCAAAGATATTACAGGCTGAAATTTGGCCCTGGACTTTTTTTGAATGTGCCTCACAGCAAGAAAAGAGTAATTGTATAGCCAAGGTGGAAATAGTTGTTAGGCTTGAGGACCATTTCCTTTAATTCCCAGTTGATTCTTCACCTGCTACATAATAAGCCATGAATTATTTCATGGACTTGCATGTATCAGAGCAAGGCCAGTACAGAAGCAATATTACTCATGGACCACAGACTCTAAAGAAAACATATTTTATACCCTTGCATTGTCATCCTAGTTTATACTACTAAATTTTACATATGTTACATACTTGTGAGCTGGTTTAAAATGTTTGTTTTGCTATTATTTATATTTTTTTTTTTAATACAGGGAAAAAACTGTAATGTAAATAAAGAAAATATATAGCTTTGTTACACTTTGTGTTTTCTTTGGGAATGTGATATCAGTATAATAAACTCTTTAAAATGTACAGAAAAAATATGACATATTTAAAACATGTAAGATCTACAGTGAATTTTAGCACCCAGAAAACATGCTCTGGACAAAATGACTCTTTACAACGCATGATTTTATATGTATATATGAAATACTAAGATACATAGTTATCATGAAAATGTGTTGTTGTGATTTCATTAGCATATATTTCATTCAAGACCTCTGGATATGAAGTCATTTGTGCCTACAAGTTTCTATGTTTCTGGTGATGTTCTGAACATACCAAATAAAGTTTTAAATGGAAACACAAGTTTGGAAGAAGCCTTGTTGTTGCCTGCATTGTGTTTCATAAGTATATTAAGTATGTATTTTTTAAAAGTTGTAAAGGCAATTCTCTAAATCAAAATAGATTCTTACAATGTTAGGCAGTGTTCTGAAAACTTCAGCTATACAAATCAGACTCCTGAAAAGTCCTGAGAGAATTGGAGCAGTATTATCTTATCTAACATTTACCTTTCTTTTATTATACTGTGGCAAACACCTACACTTTCAAAGCAATCTACGTTCATAAAACACGTATTATTAGTGGGTGTTTCTTTTGGCCATCAAAAAGCAAAACAGTTCTGGAAGCTAGTCTATATTTTATTATTTACTTAAAAATGATGACAGATAAAACTTGGTGCTTGTGCAAAATTGAAACTTACTATATGGATCCTGCTATTCTTCCTCATTTCTACCAAGTTCCTGATGTTTTTGCAAAATTTCCTACTACTGCATATTGTATTACCAACTGTTGCAAAAAAGGTCAAGTATTATACTTTAACACTTCTTGCAATTCAGAAGATGTGGTAACAGTTGTTCAGTTAAATAATCATTTCTGTATGTAAGCAATAATTCATACTCAACAGAGGGAGGGCTCAACAAGCAAGCTTGACTACTTTGGCACATTGGTAGGCATTTGAACCAGTGATGAAATATTGAGTATTGAATGCAAATTTCATATCACTGTGAAGTAATTGGACATGGCAGTCCACAAAGCTTTTTATTTGTAGTAAAAGACACCCCAGGGCTCCTAATAATTCCTATTATTCATTTTTTTTCCTTTAATACACCATCATTTGCTATGCTTGGTCTTGATTCTGGCACAGCCTACTGTGGAACAGTGGATGTGCCAAGTCACTGTCCTGGGGTTTGCACAATATAGTCAGTAATTGTTTTATAGATGTTTGCCTTATCATATTCCACAGGAACACCACAAGCATTACAAAATTTGCCTATGTCTAAATTTTTTGTCATTGGTTACTATTCCTATTTCTGACTGGAAAATATTTTCATTGTTAACACATATCCTCATTCAAAGTTGTGAATACATACTTGTCATATTTAATTCACTGGCATTTTAACTGGCATTTCCCACCCACCTTCTATGTACACTTTCTAATTAATCCACAAGTTTATTTCAGGTACTTAATGGCGTCTAAAGTCCAACTCCACTAAAACTGGAAAGAGAGTACCTTTGAAAATATATACCTGGACACTCCTTGTGAAGGATAAAGACTCTTCTCTAAATTAACCAGAGGTGCATGGGGTTTAGAGAACACATTAAGCCTCTTCTGTTTCATAGAGTTTACCTTGGTCAAACACTACTTTTTATAATGAGTCATAGTGGACCTATTGAAAATCATAATGGACCAGCCGGGTTAGCTCAGTTGGTTAGAGCATGGTGCTAATAACAGCAAGTTCACAGGTTCAATCCCTGCTTACTGCAGGGGGGGTTGGGCTCGATGATCTCTCAAGGTCCCTTCCAACCTAAAGCATTCTATGATTCTATGATTCTATGAAGCATAAAGGAACATTTGTTGTTCAGTCAGATGTATTTATCCCTTATTCAGATGCTAAGAAATGGCCAACAATGTATCCTACAAGTGCATCTCTATACTGATGCTCTGAAAGCTGTGGATGGCGGTGTCACATGGAAGCTGCCATTGTATTTGTATTCATTTCAGTAGAAAAAAAACAGAAAATAAAGAAGCAGAAGAGGTG